GATTTCCTAGTATGAGCATCAATAATCCTTTTTTGAGGTCCATAAAGATCTCTGGATCAAGTCACGTGTACCATCTTTTGTGGGAGAGTCTTCCAGACACAGATCTGATTTGCAATTTAATTGGAATTACCAGTTGAAAAGCTGCTTGCCCTAAGGCCTTATATATTTTTTCCAACAGTCAGTGAATGTTGGCTTAATATATTCAGTAAAGACATGACACAATACTCTTTGTTAATCTCTTTATTAATGGAAGCTTAACTGAAGTTCTGATTACGCTGTCACACTGCCATACTGCAGAATTACTGATAGTGTGAGTCACAGACTTCTCTCAACAGTGTATAGTATTTTGTTGCTATAACAAGCAGATCATTAAACCTGCTTTTCCTGGCACCTGTAGAAGTTGTTGTTTGTTTGCTTGACCCACGAGTGTAGAGATTAAAGTCAGTCATGGAAGCTCACTGGGACATTTTAGATCAGTCATTCTCAGCCTAAACTAAATTACAAGCTTGGTGTGTGTGTGTGTGTCTGTGGGTGTGTGGGTGTGTGTATGGGTATGGGTATCTGGAAAAGGGAGTGCTATGTATGATCTTTTGAGCTGCTGAAAGGAAGGGGAAATATATCAAATCAATTATAAAAATGTTAACTCCTCCTATTTGTTATTAAAACAATTTAAGATTTTGCCTAATTTTATGAAACTTAGTCCTGCATGATGCCAAAGATGTCTATTATCCAATGATCTACTTTTGTAATAAAATGTGATTAGTAGGCAAAACATTCAGAAAAGCAAAGAATCAGATTTAGTGATCAAAAGCATACATTTTAGTGACACCATGTAACGTCCTTTTCGAAGGTTAGCAGAATAAGAAAATGTTTATTTTCTTCACTTCTTCATATACAACACAGAATTTAGTTTACCTTGGTACAAAATTTAATAGCCTTAGTTTGTCAGGCATTTCTAGAAAACTATCATGATTATAGCTAAAAAGTAGAGAGCTTTTATTGCAATAGGGCAACATATAACAAAAGTAGTAAAGATATAAAAATGTTTAATGTTTAAGCCATGGCTAGCAATTCAATAAACCAGATTAAAGATGGCCTTCCATGCATACTTAACAGTTCCACAAAAACGATTCTCTCAAACAAGCCCTTTCTGCATATTTAATAACTTGATAGGTTTGTCCAGTTCTCAATCTACTGGATAGTATGTATGACTTTAGAACTTGAGAGCCAGACCTGGAGTCAATCCCAAAAGTCTGACCAGTGAAGATCTCTACGAGATTAAAATCACCAGAGATGATGACCACTGCAATTATGACTGTTTTACATTCATTAATTAAGCTTCCGATTCCTGATTATGCTGAGAAGCTTGCAAATAGTTTAAGGATTAGGCAAATGAGGAATGGAAAATAGTTGCTAAATCAGTCTTCATGTACCCTTCCTGTTATAGGAAGGGTACATGAACTATGACGCTTACATAAGATTTTCTCCCCAGTATTCTTAGAGATGCTTTTATTAAATGTTTTGAAAGAATACATGATTCCATTTCACAATAGGAAAGTTCATCTCCTTTTTCCCAACTTTGTAAGCTTCTAACTATAGTAGCAAATTCTAGGACTTGGCTTCAAAAACATTTGCAGCAGTTAAGTATTGTGAAAAGTTTTTTGGACTAGAATCCTCATTTGGTACATAAAATTTAGTTGATAATACTATAATCTCCAAAAGCCTATATCATGATAAAATTTGTTAAGGTTTCAACCAACTTTAGAAGAGGACAGGAATAATCTAGTCCAACTCCTTGCTCTGTACTAGATCCATTATAGAATTTCAAATTGGCTATTCAGCCTGTTTGAAGACTTGCACTGAAGGAAATGTACTTCAGACCATTGGCTGACAACTCTTAGCATAAAGAGTTCGTAAAGTGGCATTTAAAGCTAATATATAAAGTCTAATCTAAATGTGTCCAAGTAATTGGATCTGGTAGAAGAGAACAAGCCCACCCCCTTTCTCTATGTAACAACTCTTTAATATCTGAAGATTATTCTGTCTTGTTGCAGTGTTCTATTTTGCAAGTTAAACATATCCAGGTTCTTTAACTGTTCCTTGTTAAGACTTAATTCCAAGCCACACAACATTTTGGTAGCCCTGCTATGAATTTGCCTATCAGTTCAGAATGTGGTATCCAGAACTGGATGCAGTATTCCAAATGGATCTGACCAAAGCAGAGTGGAACAAGAGCAGAATCTGAATTCCATGCTGTTACACACAGAAAAATAGCATTTCCTGTTTTTAGCAGCCATACCTATTAATTTCTGTTCAACGTATGATCTTCTAGAACTTTTTCATGTTTCTGTCACTATCTGTGGACTTTAGCGTTAGACATGAGAAAATTATGCACCTAGAAATTTGCTTTTAAATTTTTCTTCAAAATGCTGATTTCTTCAGTATTACTGAATTATATTTTGCATTTTGCTGAAACCAGATAACCATGTCAAATATCTCATAATTACATGTATAATTAAATATGAAGATTAATGTTAGTACAATTATTGCAATATTCAGAATTAATACTTTTTTCCTATTACACAGATTGCTGAAAACCAGGACATCAGTTTTCTGCATAGCCATGTTTATAGCTTGTCGTGTGATCTCAACAACTTGAAATCTGAAGTCAATATGGCCTCTATTCCTCAGAAGGAAAAGGGAACGTGATCTCCAATATATTAACAACAAATTGTAGTTCAGTGAACTAAAATGAAAAGTAGTTAATTTTCCCTTATATAAATATCATCCTTTGAAAAGTTTCTTTAAATCAGGAAGTTGTGTTTTATACATGGTACTATTTTTTTTAAAAAAAATGCCTTAGAGATCTTAAGATTAACTAGGTTTTTTATTTTAAATAATATTTTAAGTATTTGTATATTCTCAAGATATTAAATATTAATTTCAAAATAGTTTTAATACTTTTCTGGTTATTAATGGATCAAATTCACTATCTGAAAAGAAATTGTCACAAATCAGTACTAGTGAAAAAAATCAGACTTGTATGGTATTCTTATTGACATGATTATATTTAGCACACAGCAAAACTGAGAGCAAATAAATTACTTTTTTTAAAAGTCAGAATTCTTTCTGTACTCGGCTTCCTATAAAGGATCAGATTCATTAACTCTTCACAATATCTCTAATGGTTAGTGCCATCTGAACCACCCCATTCTGCAGACATTGAGTCCAAATTACCCCATTTTCTAGAAAAATAAAGAGGGGAAATCTAAGCCTTTTGTACACAGAATGTACAAACTTACAGCAGTACCAAGGGAAGATCTTAGTGCCAGGTTGCTGTTGTACATGTTCTACACAATTCTCTCTACAGAAACAATTCAGTAGAGAATCTACTACTTAGTATAGCCATGAAAATGATTTGGAAGGGCACTTCAATTCCCACAACTTTACAAGCAGGATATCATTCTAAAGGTTTCGTTTGACTGCTTCAAAGATCTTCCCCTATTTCCTGTTTTTCTTCACAGGCGGTTTCAGCAGATCTTCTGTCTATACAAATGCATGAACTGTCAAGCTGAGAAAGGGTTTATATTGAATCACTGGGTTTTACATTTCTGTTCAGTTGGCAAATTGCTATGATTGATCTTTCCCTGCCCCAACCCCAATTAATTGCCTAGCCCTACTACTCCTTTTAGCAGTTCTACTTGGTCTATCTGCTAATGAACAAAACATATATGAAATATGAATATGTCAAAATCTAGTCAAGAGTCAAGAAATTAAGACTGTTGTGGGGATGCATATTAAGAGTTCCCAGGTTTTCTGGCTGACAAAACACTATTGCAAGAAAAGATAGTGACCCATGATTCAGCATGTTCAAATTAACAATACTAAGCAGCCTGCACATCCAGTTAGATGGAGCTGGTGGATTTCTATCATACACTTCTGCATAAATAGAAGCACATGTACCATGCTCTACTGGGTGCTAAAACAATGCACATTTACAAAAAGTATATTTTTAAAATATATTTTAAAATGTTATAAAACTCTGCAGACATATATAAAGGGAAACTGAAATTCAAAGGGGCTTATATAAACTAATTTGATTGAAAAAATAAGAAGGTAAGCAAATTTGTGATTTTAAGGCTAGTAGCCAGTCTAAACAAAGCAAATACATTACCATAACGCCATAATTCTTGTAAAGGTATAAACGAAGTCCAGAGCTAAACTAAGGCATATAACCCTTTAGTAGAGGGAGACTGAAGAGATACCATCTACATTTTTTCTTGCATTCTTAAATTGTACGCAATAGCTTAAAATATTTAGATACATTTTAAACTATGGACTTTATTCTTTTTATTATGCTTCACATATTTACACGTAACTTTTTAAATTACTATATTTTGCTTTAGTTATGTACGTTTTCATACCGTAACAGTGTATTTAGGAAATAAAGCTTGCTTAAATAAACATGCTTCTTACCTGAAGCTATTTTGGAAAATTGCTTAATAGTAGTATAGCTAACAGTCCAAATCCAGCTTAAACAAAGGTACTAGATAGATTGGTTTTTAATAGCAGTGCAGAATGTATCCCAGAGAAATCTAAGCCAATTTGAGGACTGATATGGAAGTTAGGATTCAACAATAACTGATTCTTAATCTCTGGTTTATAAAAAACTTTTTCCCAAAATATAAATTACCAATATTTTTCTTTCAATTAGTTATAACCAATAAAAAGATCAGTCTAGAGGCAACTACCATGGGGTATCAGTTTTTTAAAGTCAACAGTTTTCCATGATAAAATAATTTTGATAATGCTTGTGTTTTGTTAAAGGAATAGCCAAAAGGCCACACTTAAGATATAGTTCAAAAACAAAAACAAAGGCCTGACTAGAGATGCAAAATGCATAATAATTTATCCAAAGCCAACAAAAAATCCTGAACATGTCTACATTTTTTTCTTTTAAAAAAGATAACCCGAACAAATCACAACAATTCTGTAGTGTACCAAGTGTATATTTCAATTTACTGTATTTAATCTAACAACAGATTTGGTCATAATTTACCAGATATACACAAATGATTTAAGTAGCAAAAGGAGATTCGGTTTCAAGAGAATAAGTAAAATACATTAAGAATGTAAAGCCAGGTCCAGTTTAAGCATTAAGTGAATAGTATGTTATAATAAAGCAGATTTAGGTGATTTTAGGACAAGATAGGTAGATCAATTGTAAACTATTTTATGGGGAATAAATGGGATGGAAGAAATCTTTATACTATAACTTACATATTCACAGAGCAGAACATTTACTTAACGTTTAAAATACTTCCCATTCATATTATGTTTCCCCGCTATTTTCTACTTTGGACCCCAACAGAATTACACATTACTCATTTCAGTCTAGAAGAGAATAAGATGTATTCAGTTCTTAAAAGAAAACCCAAGAACTACTTATCTGTCAGGTTTACAGTGATGTGGAATCTACCAATGATGTATTTGGATAGAAAAGATTATACAATACCCATATGATTCAGTCTGTTTCATCCAGCAGAAACAGCGTCCAACATTAATCCATTGTTGTATTGAAATAAGGGATAATAAAGCTGTCTCTTTAAATATATTTTATATATATTTATATATATATATATATATAAAAACTTTGAACAGATGGAGCACCATTAAGATTCTATCTGTCAAAGCAATTAAGTTTACCACACAACTACCATAATTTAGTTCGCAGATATAAAATAGGAAAATATACTCATTTTAAAGTTAATAAACTCAAATATGGTGACCCTCAACTTATAATACAGTACTATCACACTGGCCTAGCTATGTATTATGATAAATGCTGTGCATATTTATTCACTGTGACATAGTAATATATTGAATGCAGTGTCTAAACTTCAGGTAGCTCACGTGCATTCAGGCTAGATGAAGCTGAGAATACTAAGCATAAAAAAGGTGCAATACCCTCCCTTCCCTCAGAAAAAAAGGCCTGAAATCATTGGTACAATATAACAAGTTTAGAAAAGATTTATGGCTACAAAAATTCAAGTTTCAATGTCTCATCCAAAAACAGAAGCAAAGAGCATTGGGGATAAATAGCTCCAGCAATTATACTAACAATTTTCTTTTTTAAAAAAAGAAGTTCCAGCAAATTAAGCTGCCAAGTTAAACATAGTTTGTTTGGTATATAAAAGAACCCCCAAAATAGGAGAGAAGCAAAGATTCAGTTTGTGTTTACTTTAATGAAAAGCAAAGGGGCACAAAAAAGTAGATAGCCTTATGTCTAATTTTTCACATAACAAAAACTAGACAAAAGCAGACAAATTGGGCTGGACTATTAAAATCAAAAATATCAATTACACGCCTTTTCAGATTCTAGGACTCTAAGCTTTGTGATGGATTGAGGTATACAGTAGTGAATAAAAGTAATAGCCAATAGAATAGTGCTAACAAAAACATAAATTAAAATATGGGCAGCCACGCCAAAAAGTGTCTAACATAAAGTTCTTTAAGTGACAAGGAGAACATTTCTTTCACTCCAATCACAATCTTCCTTGCAGTTTTAAGTCATTATTAACATTTGGTGAAAGAGCTGTAGCATTTTGAAAACTCAAAGTACTGAAACCTAGTAAGTCAGGAAATTAAATATCAGTGATTAGGTTTCCAGGACTTGTCAGCTATCATATCCTGACAAAATTAAGTCACACAGATTCATGTCATCCAGAAGCTGGATACTGAAACTATCAGGGGAAGGGCAATGGCAAGAGAGGTGAGGTAAAGCCTCCTTTTAGGAAACGCGAGCCACTATGCCAGACTAGCCACTTTTGTTCAAAAACTATGATTGGAATCAAGGGAGCCATCTCCAAAAATTGCAATTTATTTCATCCATGTTAAGAGACACATGAATGATTAACACAGGCATAGTTAGTACTATGCCAGATTAGGACCCAAATAGTAATATCCTATAAATAATAAAAATACATTTTTACTTTGATAATTGACTGTAGGTGTGAAGACTCTATATAATTCAACCAAATGACTGTACAGTCCTGTGCAAATATCTTTTAAAAAATTAATAATCTTTTTTTTTGCTATAAGGCTTTAACCCTATAATTTTCACAGCAACATAACTTTCATCCAGCCTGTACCATATTTTTTCCAATCCTTCAGTCCAAAAATTCAACATGGTCAGTCTGTATGACGTCAAAATAAAGCATCTATAAGATCAAATCCCCTCAGTCTTCTAAAGGCACACAGACTTCCCCAGATTCATCCCACCGAGTCTGGTCATTCTGTTCTTCTATATCATCAGGTAGCTCTTCATCAGCTTCCCCTACTTCATTTTCTTCAAACTCTTCATCTCTAGGAAAATCGGTGTCTTGTACCTGGTCTACTCCCTCTTGCGCTCCTGGCTGAGATTTGTCTGCACAGTCAACGCAAACACCATAACGCCGAGATCCATGTCTTATTCCAACGCTAGCTGCTAGCATGAAAATCTTCTTGCACACCATACATTTGTACTTCTTATCCTTTTTGTGAACCTACATTAAGGATAGAATTATTACATCAACAGGTTTAATATAGATTTATTAAAATTGATTTATGTTTTGTTAATTAATCCAAAAGTAAGATTTGAATATACTTGAAAGCCACAAATGGGATCTACTGCACCCATATCAAAATTTTGCACTTCACAAGAAATGAAAAATATAGGTTTTATTCTTGTTATATTTTTAAGCTCCTATTTCTGCTCCAGTTCCTTAGTAAGTTGAATTATAAATTATTGTAGAATGCAATTTAAAACCCAGTATCAAAATTAAATATTACTGATATGTCTCAATAATATTACTTCTTAAAGCAGATATTCAGCCAGCCTTTAACAAGGAACACTAATCTTAAGTTTCCTTCAGCTTTTGGGATTAAAAGGAAATAAATTCTGACACCAACTTTCTTGGCTTTTTAATTACCAAGTACACATTGTAAGGTGCAAAAAATCCCACACTGTATTCTCATTACTGAATCCGAGCATGAGGGAATATCTGAGATGCAGATTTGTATTTAAATTTGTATTTGTACTGAAACAAAAGCAGAGCAAGACTGTACATATTCATCTAAATCTGATTACTGGTTCAACCAGAGCAAAATCAGACCTCTATTCATACATTTAGTTTATCTATAATAGTAGTCTTCCTGAATAACGAACCAGGGAATTATTTCTATTTTTGCATTATGTTTTTGAAATATAGTATAAACACCAGCAAAACCATTTTTTTTAGTAAGTTATTGAATTCATCCAATAATTTCCAATTCCTGACTATTAATATTACCATAACTATTTTATAATAATAATGTATATATTAGTATTTAGAAAAAAACTGGGGCAGATTTTTATTAATTATCCAATTTATTAATTTTGAATGTTTAAACATATTTTACTGGATCCAATCTGGGTCGGTCATCAGGACTAGAGATTTAGTCTTCCTAGCTTTCGGACTCATGCTGCAGCCCATACTCAAGGAACTTCTCACCATTATCCAATTATAGACGTTAGTTTGTTTGTCCAGTAGGACAATATAATTCCAAACATTGCCACAGAGAATGCTGTAGTTTGAAGCAAGCTACTTATTTAAACACTTTAATTGTAATCTACACAAATACGACGTCAGTTAGCAGCTTAATTCTATATGAAACATGATATACCAAACTAATTCAATACATAACAAATCTTATTTAGTTTTATTGTAGCAAACTGTAGAAGTTACATACCAAGGAATGTCTTTTTACATGTTCTCTACGAGTAAACAGTTTTCCACAAATATCACAGCTGAAAGACCTCACTCCTGTATGAATGAGCAAATGTCTCTTTAGTGTTCTTCTATATTTGGCTACATAGTTACAGTGTGGACACTTCAATTTATTCATGATTAGAGAAGAATCACCTAAAGATCCAAACAAAAGTGATTTAATAAGTTAACAAAAATATTTTTCAAAATAGGATATAAAATAATATAGTATAATAAGCGTGTATGTGTATGTATATGTGTGTATATTGCCATTCAGCACAAAGCTAATCTCTGCATAGCCATAACACCCAGATTTATTTCACCCACATACCTCAAGTATGTTTACATATAACTACAGGGAGGGGAAAAATATTTGATCACCTGCTGTTTTTGTACGTTTGTTCACTGACAAAGAAATGATCAGTTTATAATTTTAATGGTAGGTTTATTTTAACAATGAGAGACAAAATAGCAACCAAAAATCCCAGAAAACCACATTTCAAAAAAGTTTTAAATTGATTTGCATTTTAATGAGTGAAATAAGTATTTGACCCTTTGCAAAACATGACTTAGTACTTGGTGGCAAAACCCTTGTTGGCAATCAGAGGTCAAACGTTTCTTGTAGTTGGCCACCAGGTTTGCACACATTTCAGGAGGAATTTTGTCCCACTAGTCTTTGCAGATCCTCTCCAAGTCATTAAGGTTTCGAGGCTGACATTTGGCAGCTCGAACCTTCAGCTCCCTCCATAGATTTTTTTATGGGATTAAGGTTTGGAGATTGGCTAGACCACTCCAGGACCTTAATGTACTTCTTCTTGAGTCACTCCTTTGTTGCCTTGGCCGTGTGTTTGGGGTCATTGCCATGCTGGAATACCCATCCACAACCCATTTTCAATGCCCTGGTTGAGGGAAGGAGGTTCTCGCCCAAGATTTGATGGTACATGGCTCCATCTATCGTCCCTTTGATGCGGTGAAGTTGTCCTGTCTCCTCAACAGAAATACATCCCCAAAGCGTAATGTTTCCACCTCCATGTTTGACAGTGGGGATGGTATTCTTGGGGTCATAGACAGCATTCCTCCTCCTCCAAACACGGCAAGTTGAGTTGATGCTAAATAGCTTGGTTTTGGTCTCATCTGACCACAACACTTTCATTCAGTTCTCCTCTGAACCATTCAGATGTTCAATGGCAAATTTCAGAAGGGCCTGTACATGTGCTTTCTTGAGCAGGGGGACCCTGCAGGATTTCAGTCGTTCACGGTGTAGTGTGTTACCAATTGTTTTCTTGATGACTATGGTCCTAGCTGCCTTGAGATCATTGACAAAATCCTCCCATGTAGTCCTGGGTTGATTCCTCACCATTCTCATGATCATTGAGACTCCACAAGGTGAGATCTTACATGGAGCCCCAGACCGAAGGAGATTGACAGTTATTTTGTGTTTCTTCCATTTGCGTATAATCACACCAATGTTGTCACCTTCTCACCAAACTGCTTGGCAATAGTCTTGTAACCCATTCCAGCCTTGTGTAGGTCTATAATCTTATCCCTGACATCCTTGGACAGCTCTTTGGTCTTGGCCATGGTGAAGAGTTTGGAATCTGATTGATTGCTTCTGTGGACAGAGTCATTCCTTTTTTTTAAAAAAATAATTTTTTATTTTTCCAAACTCTCGCCCATACATATACCATGATATTTATCAGATGTTAACATACATTCTTTTTACATTCATATATAAGATACTTTTAATAAAATGAAATAAATACATACACGACTTTTGGTGTTGCTCACCCATTTCCCTTTTCACTGTATCCACCCTCCTTCTTCTCTATCTTTTTTCTCCCTTTCTTCTCTTCCCTACTTCCCTCTTCTTCCTCTCCTCTTCTCTTTCCTTCACCACTCTCCTCCTCTTTCTCCCCACTTCTCATCTTCTCCTCCAACCTTCCTACTTCCTTCTCCCCTCCTTCACTCTTTTCTCTCTCCTCTCCTTTCTTCCCTCTTATTCCTCTTCAGATACAATTCAGGGGTAATATCTCCAAATTTCCCTATCTGTATTATATACAATAATTTTCTCTTACATTAATCTAACCTATTTATCTAACCTTCTTGGTATATACTTCTATAAATATTTATACAAACTCCAGTTATTCAATACTGTGTCGTCTGGGTCTCCCTTCTTATCTGCTCGTTTTTCTTCCATCTAAATTGATGTTAACTATCTTTTAACCGTATTCTCTTTTCAGCCAATCATAAAAAGTTCCCCAGATTTCATAGTAGTCTGACTCTGTCTTATCTTTAATTGTCATTGTTAGTCTATTCATTTCTGCACATTCCAGTATTTTCCCAATCACCTCTCCCTCTGGGGGGGGGGCTTTCAGTGCTTTCCAATTTTGTGCAAACACAATCCTGGCTGCCATAATTATATGAATAATTAAATATGTTTTCTCTTTATTGTAGAATACCCAACAGGAATATTTCTGGTCTTAGTTCTATACGTTGTTGTATCATCTTTTCTATCCATGTTCTAATTATATTCCAATACGTTTTAGCTTCTACACACGTCCACCACATATGGTAGAAGGAACCTGGTATCTGATGACATTTCCAACATTTCATAGACCTGTCCTTAAACATTTTAGTTAATCTTTCTGGAGACAAGTGCCATCTATAAAACATTTTATACATATTTTCTTTATACGCAGTCGCCATTGTCAATTTATAGTTTCTTTCCCATAGTTGCTGCCATCTATCTAATTCAATTGTGTATCCAAAATTCCTAGGACAGAGTATTCCTAATCTCAGCTCATTACCTGTATAAAAGACACCTGGAAGGCAGAAATCTTGCTGATTGATAGGGGATCAAATATTTATTTCACTCCTTAAAATGCAAATCAATTTGTAACTTTTTTAAAATGTATTTGTCTGGATTATTTTTGTTGTTGTTATTCTATCTCTCATTGTTAAAATAAACCTACCATTAAAATTATAGACTGATCATTTGTCAGTGGACAAATGTACAAAATCAGCAGGGGATCAGATAATTTTTTACCTCACTGTAGTTCATTCACCTTCATTTTTAAGGCGTTAGAATTATTTGACTCTTTGAGACCAAGGTTAAAGAGAACAGCAATTTACCACATGATCGGAACAGGTTAGCAAAAGTGTGATTTCTAACTGTTTAACAACAGCCTGCATACAATAGCACACATGGTACTTTCTTTAAAAAAATTACATTTTTAAGGTAATCAGCAAAAGATTGGTGACAATTGCAAATAAAGTGTTTCAATGGCTTGAAAATGTTTATGTAATTATCCTTATCAAATAAACAGAAAATATACAAATTAGAAATTTTCTAATGCAAAGAGAAAAATGTCCCAGACAGAGTGATTTCTGCAATCCTCTAATTTGTAGAGGAAGATTTTCAGAAATGTTTCTGTACAAGATTTGCCAGAATGCTAATACAGGTAGTTCTTGATTTACATAACTTTATTTAGTGACCGTTCAAAGTTATAATGGCCCTGAAAAAAGTGATTTATGACTGCTTTTCGTACAACTCTTTACAACATCCCCCCCAAAATTCAGCCATTTGGCAACTGACTCATATTTATGACGGTTTCAATGTTCCAGGGTCATGCAATCTCCTTTTCTGATCTTCTGATAAGTGAACTCAATGGGGAAGCCACATTCATTTAACAACCGTATTATTAACTTAGCAATCGCAGAGATTCACTTAGCAACTGTGGCAAGGTTGTAAAATGGGGCAAAACTCACTTAACAACTATCTCGCTTAGCAACAGAAATTTTGGGCTCAATCGTAGTCATAACTTGAGGACTACCTGTACTAATCTTGGCAAATAAAAGGCCCTCTAAGAGAATCAATCACTAATGCATTTTTATATGTAAAGACTGCAAGTTCAACCAAGCTTTTAGGCAAAGTATATCCCTGGAGATACCATTCTCAATCTAAAATGCTCAAAACTCTATGCTGTCCCATTTATCCACCAGTTTAAATTAAAATTATGGATCCTGTGATTTTATAGTTCTAATTGAAATCCAAATAAACACATCAAGAAGTTTATTCATCATTAGTATACATTGCAGATGAATTGTACCAAAGTTTCAAAACTTTTTTTAATAGTACCAGAAATTCAAAAAAGCACATTTTTGAATTGTAGCAGAGTTTAAATATATTTTTAAATTGTATGAATGAATGAAGGTAAGGCCACACATAAGATTAGATCCTCCAAATTCTGGGACATCTATAAAAACAGATTAGGAAAGCTTTTTTTCAAGTTTGAGGGAAGCATTCCTTCACAAGAAATCTTTAGTAGAAAGGAAACATATGCCAGGATCTTTGAGATTCTTATCATCTGCGGATCCGCAAATTATCATTCAACAATAGTTATTTTGCTTATTTAACAGTAATCATTGCAGATTCTTTCTATGCAGTTTGAATTTTTCAGAGAATAGTGTTCACTTCGGATACATTACAATTATATTACTCTTGTATAAATAGAAAATATAGTTTGAACAGAAGTTAATAGCTTTTCTCACCATTTTCCCAGTTTTCTTTTGGCCAGGATTCAGGTAGCAATCCATATTTGAAATCATTTGAAGTCCCTGGTAGTAACCCAAACTTGAAATCATTGGTGATACTAGGAAATATTCCAAACTTGAAATCATTTGAGGTACCTGTTATAAGAGATTTTTTTTAAAAAAAATTATACGTTGTAAGATGTATACAAAAGATATAATATTAATGCAAATAAATAAGCACCCATATTGTATATATAAAACAAAGACAGCAGTCCCACAAGTAACCTAGCCCTGTGCAATAAGGATTTTACCTAGGCATACTGAGATTCAAGGTGAAAAAGTGGTAATTAAACCTTGTATATGCTATATACATTAATTTTACATCTTTGAGATGCTTTAAAACACTCTATAAAACTTGACCTGAGTTAATTTGAGTATGAGTAGTAATTTGAGTAGTACTTAATTTGAGTATATGGTTCTATGTACTACATACTGAAACTGGAAAACTCTACATACAGTTCTATATTCAACATCCACTCTAATCCAACTATTTCATAGAGGAAACAAAAACAGATCATGTAAGTTTTAACTTCCTGTTTCTATGAACTTTCTGTTTCGCTATCATGACTGACCAGAAGAACTTTCAGGGGCAGAGCAGATAGAAGCATCTTTTGGTTGGCAGAACCTAAGAAAGTTATGATAGGAAGAGCTTAAAATGATGGAGGAATAGGGGAAATTTATAAACCAAGACTCATTATGAATTTTGTTTACTGAGGAAAACTAAGTTACAACAAGCTCTCCAAAATGGATCTGTTATTGGGGCTTTAAAAAACCTTAACAAATAAAATGAAAATTACAGTTAAAAAAGCAAATCCCACATTGTCTACAAATCTAGAAAATAGATTGAATCAAAGCAAGATATAAAAAAAACAATGCCTCCTAGAAATGTCTTGAGCTAGATATTACTAGCAATTATTTCCAATAGCTATATTTCAAAATCATTCAAATCTACCAATGCTGGTTAGTATTCTAAAATCAAAACTATTAGTTCTTTTAAAATAAAGGAAAAATGTCCCCTCTCATACAAGCCTCAAGACGTACACCAAAGTTACTGTAGTAAATAATTGTTTCCAATATTCTTTTGCAAAAGTTTTAAATACAAAGTCCAATGTTGACCACTGGGCTATTAGAGAGCTTAGTGTATTACAATAAATAAAATTTGAAAATGGCTAAGCAATAGCTAAGCAAAAATGTTACCTTGTTTTTAGACAGTTTACCTTGAATTTATATTATTCACTCATAAATTAACACTTTAAAAGCTCCAAATCAACTCTCATATAGTTGGCCCTGAACTAACTGAAATGGAGGAATTACTTTTCTCATATTGAATAACTTTAGGTATGAAAAAGGAAACACTTTGGAATTTACTCGTATACTCAAAACTTCTTCATAAATAGGTAAGACCCATACGAAGCTCAAATAATATTCAGTAAAGATATTAAAGGTAAAGATAAAGTTATACAAAATGCAGAAAAAAAGCAAAAGAGCCAAAATAGTTTCCCACTATTTAGTACACTAACTCTCACCAAATTTAACATAACAGGATAATAGACTATGGCCTAAATCTCAAGTTTTAGTTTATCTAATTTATTTTGACTTCTTCCAATTATTAATAGAAAGTAATTAAAATATTAACTTGGCAATCATGGCTAAAGTAAACAAGTCATCATTTAATTTGAATGTCTGCCCAGAAACAGTCAGGACTGCTTATCTGGGCAAATGTGTTATATGACCCATTTGTCAAAGAGATAGAAGTTGCAATCTATTTCCAACATTCTTTCAGCTGTTCTTGGCACTTGTATTCAGAGTAGGTCACAGGAATGAAAACCTGGAAACCTATCTTCACAATCTTCAACTAATGAATTAGTGGAGTTAGTTGCAATAAGTGAATGAAGAATGAATATTGATCTTCCTCTTTTATTTTCTATAACCACCTTATATTCTAAATATCTCTCTTCACTAATATAAAGAACAAAGAAAAGGAAAAAGCATTGGCTTCATTTCCCTAAAGCATAACAATTTAGTACGATTTGGTTAAAACATCTCTCTCCCAACAATCATTACAGCCATATATATCTCTTCTGCCTTTAATAGAAATATAAAAGTTGAAATAAGTGGCTTCATGTACATGTATCTCTCTGGGGGAGCAGTAAGTAATTTGCCATTACAAGTAATCCTCAAGTTATGACCAAAATGGACCCTGGCCAATTTTACAAACATGTTGCATCAATTACAAAGTAAATGCTGTGTTCATTAAGAAAACCCATGGTTCACTATGGGCGTGGTTTTGCCAAGAACCAAAGTGTTGTTTTTTTGCAAAACCATTGTAAAATGTGATCATGAATATGGAGGACACCTTATGAACTGGGTCATAAGTCTCCTTTTTCAGCTTCAATGTAACTCTGAATGGTCATTAAGCAACTGATCATAAGTTAAGGACTACCTGTACTGCTATCTGATTTTTTTTATTCTCCAATCTAAACTATAGTATTAGTGCAGAATTCTCTGCGGATTTCTCATTCAAGTAATAACCAAGTCCTGCCCTCCTTACCTTTCAAGCCCAGAGAAGCTTGATTAAGTGCTGCTGTTAATAGAGCAGCTCAAAGGGATTGGTTATTCATGTACAGATGATATAGTACAGTGGTTCTCAACCTGTGGGTCGGGACCCCATTTGGGGTCGAACGTCCATTTCACGGGGGTCGCCAAACAACGCAGTCCATCATTTTTTTCTCCCTTTTCCTTAGCTGTGCTACTCCTTTAATTCTATTGGCTTTTGAAAGCCAATAGAATAGACTCTCTTGAATAGAGTCTAATTCTATTGGCTTTCAAAAGCCAATAGGAATTGTCCAGGCTGTCTCTGCCCTGCTGAGCCCGCCAAAAGTCCCATTCTGCAAACGGCGCTGCACCAGTTGAGTAGTCCTCGACTTACAACCGGTTGAGTAGTCCTCGACTTACGACCGGTTGGGGGTCGCGGCATTAAAAAGGTTGAGAACCACTGATATAGTATATATTGATTCCAGACTATAGAAGCAAGAAAATTATTCTAGGTATAAAGAGGCTAGTGTTAGGAAATAAAAAGAGGGTGCAAAGAAGGACAAAAGCAGTTGGAAGCTTAACTTTGGTGCCAAACTTTTAATCTTTATGGTTTTAATTGATATATGTATTATGTTGCTGTAATGATGCTATTTTGATTGGGAACTATCCAGAGTTCGATATAAGATGGGTGACTATATAAATGTTTTAAATGAGTAAAATAATTTTAATTTTCTTGTATCTTTGTTTCACAATTAATATTTTTTAACTGGAAGAGCAGTGAAAGGATTCCTAAACAAATAACACTACATTGTTTGGTTAAAATTTACTTCAAGGATTTCAACATATTTTCATTTTCAGTTTAAGCTTCCTTCTCTCTCCCCCCCCCCCCCGCAACTTCGTATATTTTGGTTTGGAATATTTATAATGTATATATCTGGGATGAAGGACAGCTGTATTCATTGATGCCTTTTTCTTCCTGGCTTAATTCTAAGGCAGGAAGAAGCAAAGCACAAGTATACTACTGTTTTATAAAGGTAGTCCTGAACTTAAGGCCATTGTTCAGTGTTGTTTGAAGTTATGACGGCACTGAACAAATGGACTGACAGTCATGTAATCGAAATTTGGGCACTGGAGCTGCATGCACTTACAACTGCAGGGGTACCTCAACTCCCTCCCACCCACTCTACATCTATACCCTTTGTGAGGTAGCTGCTGGCTGCACAAGGTGTCTTCCCAAGGTCTCTCACACAGGAGTTTCCTCACAAGTCTTGAAGAAGATGGTCTCATGTGGCAGCAGTTGCCTCAGGACAGGCACGCTTGTCAGCAGTGGGAGCAAGAAGATGGCAAAGTCAGCTGGGTTGGTGTATAGCATGGGTCTCCCAACCCCTGGGCCCCAGACTGCTAACGGTCTATGGCCTGTTGGGTACCAGACTACGCAAGCGGCAGGTCAAGAGCGTGAAACTTTGTGGAGCCAGAAAGGTTGGGGACCACTGGTATATAGGGTAGTAGAGGTGTTGGCATGCAGTTGCAAAGATGGCTGAACTGGGGCTTCCCAGGGTGCAGGGCCTTTGTACAGTGCTGCTCAGCAACATTGTGCAAAGTCGTTTCCTGGCACACTGCAACTCTGGGACTGCAAAAAGTTCCAAAGTTGTGTACTAGGAAGTCCCTTTGGCCAGGCTTTGCAAAGTACAAAGGAACTTCCTGGCACACCACAGATCTAGGGCTTTTAGCAGCTATAAAGGCCATGAAGTGCCAGGAACTCCCTTTACACAGCACCAATCCCAGCCTCAGCCTGGCCTAGCAATGTAGCACAAAAGGGCTACATGGCATGCTGCAGCTGCAAAAATGTTGTATTTCCACAGCTTGGCCACACCAAGAAGCTTCCTATCCCCCTATTTTCTAGTCACTGTCATTTGGCAGCCCTCACTTACAACAGTGGCTATTCCAGTTCCCTGCCTGGCCTGAGAACATAGAAAAAATATATATATCTGAATTCAAGGCTCTTTTAACTGTAGCCTGGTAGTCTACTATTAACTTTTTAATATATTTCTAGATTTGCTTTGTTTCCTGTTTTTCTCAGCTAATTATACTGAAATGTTTAAATCCTTCACGGATAGTACAATGTACCCTTAAATATTGGTTTTGTTTTATTTAAAAGCAGTTACATTTCTAAATTATAATTAGTCCAAAAATACAATTCTATGTGCCATATATATTACCAAACTATTAACAGTTAGGATCTGATTTCAAATGCTTCACGTTTTGAGTTTCCCCAAATGCCATTCTTCTGTTAGTGGTAGGCAAATAAATCAGATTTCAAAGATTTGAATTTTTTTCTCTGAATATGCTGGCTGTAACACAAATATGAAAAGAACACGAACTCTGTCAAAAGCAATATTACCATATATATGCCTGCACTCTGCATATCGTAGAATACGCTAATATTTCAAAATTGAAGGTTTAGAATATTTAGAACTACTGATTCTATAAACTTCTAAATAGAATTCCAATTCTAAACATAGTTACAAAGAAACTATTTTAGAAAGTAAGTTTAGCCACTTTAGTATAAATGTGTGACTTTAGCTCCATCTTTCTCTCTATAGTAGTTTTTATAATCCTGCAGTAAAACCAATACTGCTGATCATCAATCTTCACAACTGAGATTTATTCTATATCTTAAAGCAGCTGTACATTATATGATCCATATGTAAATGACTCAATGGTTTCAAAATCACAAGAGAAAAGGATGCTTTTGTATTTCAGAAGAAATATTAAAAAATGTTAGGATATTAAACTTTGGAAAAGCAACTTTCTGTTGCTTTATTAATTATGTTTGATATCCATCATGCCAGCATTTACCTGCTACTTCTTCCTTGATAAACTGCAGATCTTCTTCTGGATACTGTACTGAAGTTTGAGCAGCTGAGCAGTCTTCTAACGGCTCATCGTTATTGGGTGGTATATTGTAAACAAATCTTTTTGCACCTGGGTTTTTCCTCCTCGTTTTTCCAGGTTCTTGAAGCGATTGTCCCTGTGAACTCATATCATTCCACACAAAGACCTTCCCTTCACCTTGAGATTCGTTTTCAGCCATTTCGGGTGAGCTGTCCTGGACCCAATCATTAATTTGGTAGTTTTCAGACTGGCTTTCATCAATGCAGTAGCCATCATTTTCAGTTTTTATGTTGCTTGCCAAGTTAGTTAGATTTCTTGTAGCCCAAAAACTAGCAACTTTCTGATCCCTTGAAGATAACCCATCTCTACTCACTGATCTTCTATTATAATCCACAACTACAGCTTCTGGGGCTTCTGATTTTATGCTTATATTTAAGGCATCTTTGATAAAATTACGACAGGATTGCACAACCTCTGTCATCTGAAGGTAGCTGGCCACTGACATAACTTCAATTGCATTCTGGCTTGTAAGCACAAGATTACCAGAGTATAGAAAGTCCAAGATGACAGAGAAGCCTTGAACAGCAACAACATCTAAGTAGGTAACAGTGGTTTGGTTACGATTTTCTTTGTTTGTAAAGCAATACAGAGTCTTGAAGAAACGGCTGCCTGCAACCAGAATATTTTTGTGAGCTCTGAAGACTCTTCCACTCACCACAATATTGACATCACAGAGAATGCCCTTTTTCCTTTGCTCGTTTAATTCTTGCAATAGTTGATAGCAGTAAGAGTTCTCATTTGGCCTAATATTATAATCACAATCTCTCTCATTAGCCAATTCTGATGTTAATTCAGATTCCTGTAATTAAGAGAAGAGGGAAGAAGATTATACATTTGAGTTGAGGCTTGACTGGTTTGAAATTCTAAATACTTTTAGGATTAAACAACCCAATTCTAAAATATTATTGTTGCTTTCTTTATAATATTTTGTAGTTTAGTCCACTGCCATATATTTCTAGTTCAAGCACATACTGAAATTAATTTTACAACACACAAAATATGTACAAAGGACATACAATTACATTACACTAATTTCTCAGGGCCATTAAAACTTCTGCTATTAATTGGAATATAACTATTTCATTGCCATGTAAATACTATGTAAATGTCCTTGTGCAATTTGCAAGATAAAAACATCACTGTGTCCTTGCTGAAATATCCCATCATAACAATGGATAAGACTAGCAACTCTAGAGAAATATATATGAATTTGAAATATAAATTAGCCACTGCCTAGCCACAATCTGTATCTTACCTTTTTTGTCTCCTGGTTTTTGTCTCTTTCCAAGTCACACCTCTTTAAATATTTGGTGCCTACTTAATACCTAACATCTTTTCTTAAAATTATACCTCAAAGTTACCTCAATTATTTTCTTACTTTCCAGTTTGTTAACCATCCTCACCATCCTTTGCATTGCTTCAGTTTGTCTGAATCTCTGTAAAATGTGATTTCAAGAACTGAGCACAATTCTTGAGGTGGACTCTAAACATGGGATTTTTACTTCCTGTATTTGGAGAACTATTCCTACTAATACGACCTATATTTTTAAATGTCTTTTCAACAAGCTCCTTAAGACATTCAACTCATATTGTACTACAATTCAAAATTCTTTTCACACACTCTACCACCAAGATAGGTATCTCTCATGTGATACTACTATACAGGTATACTATAAAGCCAGAAACTGAACAAATACTATCTAACCATACTGTATAAGAATGTTGATAACTGGAGTACATCTAATAACTCTCCTCACGTGCATTACTTCATAGCTCACTGATGAATCCCCTAATTTACAAAAGTGCCTTCTTAGTGAAGGAATCTTCCTCAGATGCTATGTATTTTATTTTTAGCATTTGGCACTTAGACACATATACCTTTTGTTATTTTTGTATATACTTTTGTTATTGTTGGCAATTGTTTTCAATGTTATTTTCTTTCCCAGAGTCACTTGTGGAGCTGGGTGGCCATACAAATTGATTAAGTAAATAAATGCATAAAACAATTGTTCCTAAATTGGAAATCTCATGTTTACTGTAATCACAGTAAGACAGACTACCCCTGACCTTGGTCTAGAAGATACAGGTGATGCAGAACATGGCAGTAAGAAAAGCAACAATTCAGATTCAAAAAGTGAAATGCAATTTGGCATGTGCATCAGTGCTCAAGCAGCAACTGTCAAGAGAAATGCCTTATAGGTTGTATGTCAGTTGCAAAGAATGGCTGTGAACCCAGGAAAATCTGCAGCTGTTTTAAGGTGGTCCTGACCAATGCTATGTCAACAGTAAAGTATCTGAATGCACAGACCTAACGGTGATGCATATTACCGATTTGCACTGATAGTTGGTTAATTAATACTGAACAAGATTAAGGTTTCTTCCCTAGGATATTGGTGCTCACTGAAAATTAAAAAAAAAACATTCCAGAAGAAAGCAGTAACAAACATGGTAACATTTTTAAAGACACTGTGTTAATACAGTGACTAGAAGTTAAGATCAACTTGAATATCCTTAAAAAAAAACTCTAAATAACTTATGACCACAATGTCATTACTATACAGACTTAATCAACTATGATAAAAGAATCTTGTGTGTCTATGTACAAGACACATAGTATTCAGTTACTAATATTAGAACCACAATTCATTTGTGGTTGTATCAACTCCACTTTTGAGGGCACTAAAGCAATTTTTTTCTTTCATTGTACTCATACAATATGGGATAATGGCCTCAAGATGCCTCCTCATTTTTCCATATTAAAATTAATTTCTGCTCTGGATTAAAATTTTCATTATTCATTTGCAATATTATTTATTTCAAGTAATATTGAAATAAGAGAAATTTTACCAGTATTATGCTGTATCAATACACTGATTCCCTACTGCTGTTTATTATGACAACTATATATGTTTCCCTTTTGTTTTTGCTATCCTCCATTTAACCTTTCAGATAGCCTAGTGAGGAATAAAACAGAGCATCTGTAGCTAAAACATATTTTTCTGTTCTTCAATTTGGGGCCTTCAAGATCTTTTGGTACTAAAATTCATAACTTCTAGACAATGTAAAGGATACAAGCTTTTTTTGGGGGGGGGAACTACTTCACATATTAACCTATACATCAAATCACAGTTTCAATATCATTAATCAAAGAGTTCATTCAATCCCAGTTAACTGATATATACCATTTTCTGGTTAAAAGTGTTAAACGTATCAGGCATTATTATCCATTCCATAAGAACCAACCTTTTTTTAATTCTAATAATCCAGAAGCTATTTTCCAGAAAATAGCTGTCGTATCTATTCCAGATTTCTACATAGTCATGTATGACATAAATATGAAGGAAAGTTTGTTACTATCTGCTCTTTAGTTAAATACATTCTGGATTTTTAGTGAAGATACTGTTCCTTCAAGGTGTCTGATACAAATGGGAGGATTTTAATTAGCTTAACAACTTAATCCCTAACCTGATTTTCAGACACAAGCCCTAAGATTGAAGACTTATACCCTACATCTATTTTAAGGAATCTTAAACTGAAGAATTAGATCATCTTCTTGTGCCTATTTAAAATATATCCCATATACTCAGCTTCCTGAAATTTGTTCAGCATTAATATGTTATAAGGAATCTTTAAAAAACCAAAGTATTTTCAACCATTTTGCACAGCCTAAAAAATGTCTACAATCACACATCTAATCTTTGAAGAAAAATGTATTTCTTAGGGTATTCATGCAATCTTTTATCAAAATAACTTTTAAGGACACAGCCTAAATATAATGCAAATTATACAATCATGTTATATTATCAGTGATACTTTCCACGTAATTCAAAACTGCTTCCATCACAAATCAATGTATATCTCAGTTTTGAGTATGAAAGTTAAAACAGCTTCTCCAAATATCAAATATAATATTTCTTATCAAGTGTTATCCTGCAATTTAAAAAAAACCTGTTGATGTTAATATAAATTCAGGCCCTAATTAAATACAGGGAAGTATTGCATGCTAAGGGACATACACAATGCATAGAAAATAATCTAATATTGTTTCAAACAATTGAATATACAATTTGGATGTTAACAAACAAATGTCATTTGTAATTTGAGAAAGTTTTTTTTTAAAAAATACACACTATAATGGTTAAAGATGGATACAATGGAAACTCACAAGGAAACCCACAAGGTTTAGGTTTACTGTTAAAGACCACAAAAATCCATGATTACTGTACCTCAATCTTGTTCACAGCAATCTAACTTTGGATCTGGCATTGTGTGAGTTAATGTAGGAATATAGCAAAAGAGAACATGAATTTAGCAAAAATATTCCATTTTTCCTTTGGATTCTAAGTACAGTACAATAACAAATGTATATTAAATTACACTGAGAAATACTTCACAAAGTTCAGGGCAATAGATAATGGCTTGCTCTCCTAAACTTGAAATAGATCACACTTCACCACCAGTCCTCCCATCTTTCTAAGGCAGTGCTTCTCATCTCTGGCACCTTTATGATGTGTGGACTTCAAGCTCCAAAATTTCCAGAATACTGGGAATTAAAGTCCATACATTATAGAGTTACTAAAGATGAGAAACACAGTTCTAAAGAAATAAACACTTGAGTGATTATCTCATCCTTCCTTAGTACCTCTCAGTAATACCCATAGCATATACCTAAGATACAATTAGTCTTGGAGAAAGTGGGATATGCTGAGAGAACAGCAGCAATTTGTGTGCTGTTGGCTGTCTCTGACAAGGAATGAGGAGATATTAATACAGTGCAGTGAATCATAAGAACTTAATGCTAACAAGTAAATAAATTTAAATCGGCAAGAAAAGTTACTTAAATCATTAGTTTAGACCAAATTTCCTATTGAAAAAAAGTATTAAATAATGGTCACTGACATCAATGTTAATATAGTACTGAATAATGTTGTTTACTTATTACAATTACATTAATTGTAATCCAGCACCAAACTGGGGAATCCGATTTATATGATTTCTCATAATCTTGCTATCAACTTCGGTTTTCTATTTTTTTTTATGTTTTATCAACATTTTCTTTTTCTTTTTTATAAATAAAGGAAATCGCTTGAAATATTCTGAAGACAAAATAAGACCTGACACTTTACTGAATGGGCCAACAGAATTTAAATATTGAGACTATTTTTAGTTTTTATGAGAATGTTTTTTCAATAGTATATGGTATCTTTAATCTTTGCATAAAGATTAATTAAAGATACCATACAACATTTTATTTGTTAAACAGGCAAAACACAATTTAAGAGCTTTTTTAGTTTTAAAAAAAAGTATTTTCAGCCACTCTGGTGTGTCTGCATCATATTCAGAACAAAAAAGACTCTCACCATGATATTTTCTAAACTATATTGCTTAAAAGAAATAATTATAACAAAATATAAGAAGGGACAATGGAAATAGTGAAAAGAACAAGGTAAAATATTGGAACTTAAATGGAACATCTACACAACTTTAGAACAAAACTGGCTTCTATTAGGATAGAATGCTCAGTTTAGATAAATCCCCAAAGTTATGATGTTTCTTTGGATAACATTAAGACTAGTCTAGACTAGCTCATATTTATATCTGGGTAGATGGTTGATTGGCTATAAATTCAAAATGATCTAGTTGTTCAATATTCAAATGCTGAATGCAAAGTCTACATTCACGTATTTCTTGCTGTAATCTCATTTCTCAATCTATCCATCTTCAAAAGTTTATTATTAAACTAATGTTTCCAGTTATTTGAAATGTAACAACCTTTATCACATTTATTTTTAGATTTTTATTTTGCCTTTCCTCCAGTGACTCTAAGTGGACTATAGAAACTCTCTTCTATTTTTCTCACGATCACTTTGTGGGGTAGAGAAATAATGGATGGTCCAAAGTCCATTCATGAACTTCCACAATTGAGAATGGACTTGAATTTGCATTTTTATCCAATACCGTCCTTAACCATTATACCAAGACAGACTCTTAGTTTTAATCAGAAGGAAAATGGAAACATAGCTAAAATTTGGGAAGTTTATATGCAGGTTTTCATATGAGGAAATATACGGTAATTGACTTTAGTCTCATTTTTTGCATCTGAAGTGTTGTTTAGTGAACTGTTTACTAAGTAGAAAAATCCATGACACAAAAAGTAAAAAAAGAACCCTTAGGATTCTTAGTAACAGAAAATTTGGGATACTTGAAAATATCAAGAATTACAAAACAGGTATATAATGTGCCAGGTTCAATTCTAAAACAATATACATGAGTAAATAGAGTGAGAACAGAACACCTTGTTTGCACCTCTTTAACAGTAGCAGTCTTTTCTCTGGATCCTATAATGCCAGAAAATCACTGATGTTTTGAAAAGTTAGATAGGTAGAAAGTTTTCCCCCCAAAACAATTTTACTTGGAGTGTAGTGCAAGAATGTATTTCTCAAGAACTCTCAAGATTTTTGAAAGATTTATATCATTACATTTATAGATTTTCCCATTATGAATAAACCTCACTGTATTATTTGAATGTATTTAAATGGGTAAAAAGGATAGTTTGCACCACATGGTATAATACAATGCCAAATACAGGGAGTACAAAATATATTAGACCTTACATTCACCTACATTATACAAACCAATTACAGATACTACTGCCTACCTAGATTTGTACCCCCCTAATCAATGGAAATAATTGCATTAAGAAACATTAAAGGTAAAAATTATTGAACCTCAAAACTGTTACAAGCCACCCCTTAAACTTTTCGATCAAAATTGCTGATTATGCTTCCTTAAAATCAGAAAGCAGAATAAATTCATTATGGGAAGAACATGAGCCAGGATTATAATATGCCCTCAAACTCACACAATGCTTTAGAAGCCCTTTAAAGTAATTCATACAAGGCACACTCCTGACAACGAGACCATCTAAGGAAAAGAGGACACCAAGTCCGCGACTGCTTTCCCCTACCACCACTGCCTCCCTCCCCCAGGCCCCGATTCAACTCACCTGCTCAGCAGTGACTGGCTCATTGAGACGATGCTCAGCTGACAGATGATGCCTGAGAAATAGGGCGCGTTTATAATTGCGGGTACCCTTGCAGAGATCGTCGTGGCCCCTGCTGCTGCTGTTGTTGCTGCTGCTGCCGTCTGTAGAAGAGGTGGTAGGGACGGCAGCGGTGCACCAAGCACAGGACACTAGCCCTGTCTTCTGACAGTACTGTAGCCACGGGAACTCCTTAAGCCAGCAGCTCTGGAAGGAGACGTGCAGCTTCTGCAGGAGGGACTTGGGCCGGGTTGCCAGCGGAAAGTGTTGGATACTCTCCCCCTCCCCCGCGCCTACGCTGTTGACCTCCGCCTCATCCCCCCCAGACCGCCTGCTGCTGCTGCAGCTGCCGCCCTCTGCGCCGCTGCCATCACCCAGGCTGCCCCCCTCGCCGTCTTCCTCGTCCTCGCTGCTGTCGCTCAGCGACCCCCCGTCCTGCACCAGCTCTTTCCCCTCCAGCAGCCCCTCCAACTCCAGCTCCTCCTCCTCTCCGCCACCACCCCGCCCGTTCAACGGCCGCCGCGACCAGGCCGCCCCGTCGCAGCCATTGTTTGCTGCCGCCACCAAGCCCCCACCACGGAAGGCCAAGGTCCGACGATTCCTCTCGGCGAACATGGGGCCGACCGGGGCAGCGACGGATGTAGCAGCGCTCGCCGAGTCCGAAGGAGGGGTCGGCGAGAGCTCTTTTCCGGCAGTGTCCGAGGCCTCCACCTCGGCCACCTCCAGTTCCACAGTCTCTAGCTCCACTTCCTCCTCCACCCCCTGGCCGTTCAACTGCTCGGCTTCCTGACGGACCCAGGCCTCGCCCTGGCCACTGCTGCCACCACTCCCGCTATTGCCGTTAGCTGTCGGGCCACCGCCACCCCCTCCTCCCACGGTGGCGGTGGTGGCGCTGACCAGGCCTCCCCCACGGAACGCCAAGGTCCTGCGGTTCATCTCGGCGAACATGGCGGGCGACCGCGCGCCCCCCCCCCGCCCGCTCCGGCCCAACTGTCTCTCTGCTCCCCTCCCCCCGGCCCCACAACCGATCGCTCTGGGGAAAAGGGGAGGCAGAAAAATTGGCTAACCAACCGAAGCACCCACCCGGCCAGGCAGTTTCAGTCAGTCAGTTCGCCGGGCCGCTCGAAAGCGCTTTTAAAGGCTGCAAGAACAAAATCTTATCCCCACGCTCCAGACTGCGTCGCTGGCACGGCCGCCTTCGTCGTCGCCTCCTCAAGTGCTTCCCCTACAATAGATCCGGCTCAACCAGCAGCAGCCCTTCCGCCCTACCAGGCCCCGGCCCAGGTCGAATGGCAAATGAACAACGGACTGCGCCCACAATGCACTGGGGCGGCAATAGCGGCCGACGCCGCGGGGGAGGAGAGGGGGAGGGAGGGAGAAGGAGGGGGCGAGGAGCCCGAACAGCTGGCGAGTGTCAGGTTTTATTGCGCGTCCGCGTCACGCCCGCAGGGCGACGCAGGCTCGCCTGGGCTTCGCAGGAGTTTTTGCCCCCTCAAACTTTCGTCCCGAAAGGCTCGGCGCGCTTTCCCCCACCCCTCATTTAAGGAGGCGCTGGTACCCCACCCGTCGGAGGCTCACATATTAATCCCCACCCCTTTGACATCACCACCTTCCAGCGCCCAGTAGTGGACATCTTGGGTCCCTCCTCAGTGCAATTCCCTCTCAGGCCACCACGCCTCGTTGGTCAGCCCTTTCGCCCGTCCCGCGCACTTCCGCTACCGGCCCCGGCTCTGCCGAAAGAGGGTCTCCCCCCTGAGGTTTTTTACATTCACCGCTCCGAGGGAAAAAAACCGACGCTCCCCGGGCGCGCAAAAGAAGCTGTCTTTTCTTGGCCGGCGCGAGCACGCGGGAGCAGCGGCTGAACATCCCCCCCCTCCTTCGAAGCGCACCGGGCGGTCCCCTCCTAGGGGAGAGCCTCGAGTGCCCTTGAGCGCCGGCGGTCACCGAGTTGCGAGCTCGGGAAGGCCGCCCGTGGGCTACGGTGGCTAAGCGCTGGCTGCCTCCGCTGACGAGCAGCAGCGGTGTGCCAGGCCCTAGTAATTACTTGGAAATTGTAGTGCCCCGAGTGCCTTTATTTCTGTTCTTGGGAAACGGAATTTAAATATAAAGGTCACGCACGTGCTGCTGCTCCGCTGAGCCAAGGTTTTTCTATTGACGCGGCCGTTGGCTCACTGGCAACCGATAGCAGCGCTTCCTTTCTACATGTTGCTACTTGAACGGCTTTCGAAATTTGGGCTTTTAAAGTTTACATACCGGCGACTTAAAAGGTTGCTAAGGGAGTGGCCGGGAGGCATAGAGACCGGCAACAGGAGAGCAAGAGAAAGGCAAGCAGCGTTGCAAGCAGATCCCGCGCAGGATTGCGAGCGCCTTAAGTCCATTGAAACGAAGGTTCCCTTTAAAAACAAGTAATTTTTAAAGGAATTGATCGTGCCTACAGGAGCTGATAGGACTATAAACCACCTGCTGCTGTCGTTTCGTTGGAACTTTTCAGAATTGTTGCCGATTATTTTCTAAGCTCCCTGCTGAATATGGGGAACTTTTCACTAAGTAATCGGACAGAGTGTAAATGTGGAGGATCTCTGAATCCTTTATTTTCATCGCTTTCCCCGAGGGCGTTTGTTCAATAAAACACACTTATTCATATGTTTTCACCCTTAAAACTAATGTTAAAACATTTTTCATGCTTGCTTATACATTGTATATATGAATACAACTAGATTATATAGTAATTGTAGGACAATGAATCTTGAGTCTTCAACTCATTATTTTAAAGGAAGCATTACTTCCTATAGGAGAAAGGAATATCTCTTCCACTGTAGCACCCACAATCTATCATTTTTTATAAGTACCATTATCTGCACTTTATCACTATCTGATTTATGTTTTAATTCTTTTAACTGATTAAATGACTTAAGTTAATCTGTTCTTAAATTTTATGGAACATATTTCATTATTAACAGGATGATGTTGATATATATTTAAAGTCAGGATGTATGCATGTGCAGGAAGAAATATGGCTCATTTACTTTAATTGGGTATTTCTATGCAACTGACTCTTGATGCATGTTTTCCTGAACTTGAATTTGGTGCATCCCTGAAATTGATTTTCAAGCTTTGTTTCATAACTTTTTTATTATGATACTGTGGATCTAAATGGACTTTCTATGCTCAGTAGCTTCTTGGTTCTCTGCCAGACAAAAAGCATTAAATTCTTATGCAGGAGCAAAATTGCCCATGACTAGAGAGAAAGGATTTTTATGATCCCACTGTGCACTGTGATGTTTCTGTCGTTATATGGATTGCAATAAGTACCATACTGCCAAGGATGATATTGTAGATAGATATATGAATAGGTGGATGGATGGATAGATGGATGGATAGATAGCTGCAGTATACTGTAAAATTAAAATGGCATACTATATATGCTTGAGAATAGTGATTTAAATATATTGATAGAATCAATAGTCAGCCAGCTTCAAAGCTGCTGTGTGGAGTCACCCTAACTGGCAAGAACAGCAAGGAACAAACTTGTTTAAAATGAAAGTGGGATTCTGGTTATTTCTCCTATTGCTAGTACTTAGGTCACTAAACTGAAGAAATATTTTTGACTAATCATGGGGATTTTAATTTATTACTCAAATATGGATTACATTTGCATATATTGGCATGTAAATATATTCTGAAAAAACATTTCATTTTGTTCACATGTAAAATATGATCTCAAATATTTTTAATATTACCAATATTTGTTTAGGTTTTTAAATGTTTTGTTTCACATTCTATACTATATAATATAAACCACTAAGATTAGAGTGATATTGTCTACTGTAGAGAATATATGGTTACATTTTTCCTTTAAAATAGATTTCTATTGTATATTATCAAACTGGTGGTTTAAAATGTAATCACAAGCCAATCATTTAAAATCAGCTGATCCTGATTATCTATAGCTTGAAGCAACAGTTAGCCCATTAATTATTTAGGAATTTTAGGCATCCTATACAATGGCCTTTCAAATGTAAACATTCCTTTTTCTTTACTCATAATATTCAGTAAAAAGATCCATTGACTTAAACTGCAAAACATGCCTTTCTAGTTCGATTCGTCAATCGGATTTTAACTAGGTACTAAAACTCCAAGTTCCTTGTTTAAACACTACATGAACATTTGGATCATTATTTTGTACCAAGCTGTACTTTAGGGATTAAAATGTCAGTCTAATAATGATTTGAGGTTTAAAAAAATAATAATTTGCTTGTACTGGCTAGGTAAGTTCATAACAGAAAGATTTGAATCCGGAACTTTGCTGTTCATACTGTACATCTACTCACTCTTAAGACTACATTTAGAATTTCTAAGAATGGCAGATACTTCTCTGCAACATTTTGGGGATCAGTTTTTTGCAATTATTGAAATGTCATCCTTTTGAAGTGGGAAAATATACCCTATTCATAGCCATATTTTTTCTCATTTCAATTTCATTTCAGTTTCAATTTTCACAAAAATGTACAATCTAAAATTTGATTTAATTTAGGGAAATATTAGTCCAGTAGGCATATTGACTAGTGAACACAATTTTCCTGGGAAGCGAATACTAGAGACTAGATTCTATTTTTCTTGGCTTATCACCTATCTTACTTCAGTGATGAGGTAAAGCTTTAAGTATTTTTATACATGACTGTAATTAAGTATGCTAATTGGGTTTGCATATTGCACAAGGCTGGGTAGGTAGCTAATATGCTAAAAAAGACCAATTTAAAATTATCATAATGTATTAGAAGAGTGGACTGAAATGAATCAAATCAAATTTAACAGAAACAAATGCAGAATTCTTCTTTAGGAAATAAGTATCAACATGCATATGTGTAGAGGGGAAGATACTGCTTATGAAAAAGACTTTGGATTAGCAATTGATTATAAGCGGAATTAGAACCACTTTGGTGTAATGGTTAAGGCATCAGGCTAGAAACCAGGAGACTGAGTTCTAGTCATGCCTTAGGCCAGGGGTAGGCAACCTTGGCTCTTTTATGACTCGTGGACTTCAATTCCCAGAATTCCTGAGCCAGCTGGCTCAGGAATTCTGGGAGTTGAAGTCCACGAGTCATAAAAGAGCCAAGGTTGCCTACCACTGCCTTAGGCACTAAGCCAGCTGTGGGTGACCTTGAGCCACTCATTCTCTCCCAGCCTTAGAAAAGAGGCAATGGCAAATCACTTCTGAAAAACATTGCCAAGAAAACTGCAGCGATTTATTCAAGTAGTCTGAGAATTGAACAGGATTGAATAGAAGAAAAATGAACAAAATTTAAATAATGTCATTGCAAAAGAGCAAATATAATTTTAGATTTTGTAAGAAGAGGTATAATTGTCAAATAATGGAAAGTAATAATTCTACTTTATAGTACACTGTCCTGTTCTCAAGTATTGCATCCAGGTCTGGACACCACACTTTGCTGAGAAGATTTGTTTTATTTATTTATAAAATTTATTGGCTACCCACCTTACCACAGGGTGACTCTGGGCAATTTACAACCCCCAAAAGTAAATATATATATATACTAAAAACATAAATAAATTAATACAAGCAAATACATGATCCAATTACAAATGGAGAGGGGGGAGGGGGGGAGAGATGGGATCTTTGTTAATCAATTAACCATCTCCACTGTTATGCTCCTAAGAAAAAACAATCTTTCTTCTCCACAGATTAATTCCAATATTCACTTTCAGAAATGCAGAAAAAGTAACAGGAAAAGAGGACTGACAGATGTTAGTTCACCTTTCCTCATGTTCCCAATCCCCAGTAATCAGATTGCTTAAAAGGCTCTTCTGGAGAGAAATAAATATTTATCCTCTGTGGCATTGATCAGACAAATCAGTTGTGGGAAATAATCAAATTGGTACCTGAAGAGTTGCCCCTTCTCAATCTCATCTTGCCACGTCTTTCAATCTTTTTATTTCAAGGCTTGGAAATGATGGTAGAAGTGAG